TATGATAGGTTCTGTAGGTTTGTCCTTAAGTTGTAATTTGAGCCAAATACACACACACACATATGCACACTTTGGATTGCATAGGGAAGGGCTGCCTGTGCCCCTGTTCAGAAGATTACACGTCACCTTCCGTCCTTATGAGAAATGATTTTTTTTAAATGGCTTGTTTTGGAAACAAGGATTGGTGAGAATGCTTCAGTGAAGACACCTTTCCCCCCCTGTGATAACTCTTTCAGGAGTAAATTTCCCATCCGAAATGTAGATTTCTTTCACTTCCTGTCATCTCACCCCTGTTCTTAACAAGGAGTTGTTTGTAAATCAGATGTTTGTAACTCAGGGACTGCATGTGTGTGCGTTTGTATGTCTGTATATTTTATATATATATATGGGTGCACATGTACCAGTATAGATCTGTGTGTGTGTATATAGATATGCGTGTATATACAGACATGGGTACTATTCCATTACTCAGGTGGAGACCACAAGGGGGCACTAGAAAGAGGATAGTCCATTTTATGGGGGTGGAGGGTGGGTTGAAGGAGGAAAGCCATTTCCCTGTTTTCCTGTTATTCCTCCCCATTCATGTCACTTTAATCAAAACAACCATAGTTTCTGATATGGGGAAAGAGGGGGGAGAAGCAGTGAAAATGGGGTTTTCCTCTCCCCCCCCCCATAAAATGGACTATCTTTCTCCATCTGTCCAGGTCCCCTTTTGGAATCTGCCTGGATAAGATAGATAAAGAGAGAGAGAGAGAGAGAGAGAGAGAGAGATCTGGGTACTGTTCCATTATTCAGGTAAGCTCCGAAAAGGGGCCTAGACAAAGAAGAATAGCCAATTTTATGTTGTGGGGGGATCATTTTCTTCATTTTCACTGGTTATTCCCACGTCCTTTTTGCCATATAAGGATAGGGACATAGGTGTGAGGAATAACAGGAAAACAGGGGGAAATGGCTTAACTCCTTCAACCCACCCTCCACCCCCCATAAAATAGACTATTCTTCTCTCTCTAGCACCTCTTGTGGCCTCCACCCGAATAATGGAACAGTACCATATAGGTCAGTGGTTCTCAAGCTGTTATTACCCAGGTGTTTTGTCCTAAAACTCCCAGAAACCCCAGCCAGTTAACCAGCTGTTAGGATTTCTGGGAATTGAAGGCCAATACATCTGGGGACCCACAGACAGAGAACCACTGGTATCTATATAAATAAAAATGTAATGTTCGTTTGTGGGATTAACATAACTCAAAAACCACTGGATGAATTGACACCAAATTTGGACGCAAGACACCTATCAGGCCAACGAGTGACCACCACTCAAAAATATTCACCTACATCCAGAAAGCACTGTAGACTCAAACAATGATGGATCTGGACCAAACTTGGTACTACTATTCCATATGCCCAAATATGAACACAGATGGAGTTTGGGGAAAATAGACCTTGATATTTGGGAGTTGTAGTAGCTGGAATTTATAGTTCACCTACAATAAAAGAGCATTCTGAACCCTACCAATGACATAATTGGGGCAAACTTCCCACACAGAACTCCCATGACCAACAGAAAATACTCAAGGCCATTCAGTCCAACTCCCTTCACCAGCACAAGAAATGTAATCAAAGCCCTCCTGACAGCCATCCAGCCATAGATATAGATAGATATGATTGACACACACACAGATATAGTATCATAGATTTGAAAGGGACCCCTAAAGAAGGGCAATCATATGTTGCATGTTCCAGAGTAGGCAAACCAGACAATCTCCACATCAACACTGACAAAGAAACAGCAAGAAATACTGTTTACCCACAAGCAGAAAGACATTGCATATATTAGAAACCAACACTTTCTCATTACTTTATTTTCCAGATCACCAGACTGGGCCACAGCAATGCATGGTAGGGGGTGGCTAGTAGGCATATATTTGTGTCTGCATATACAAAATCTGTGTATTTGTGTGCATGTACTAGTATATATCTCTATGCATATACAGATATATATGTATGTGTATGCCCAGATATGTATGTATATACATTTGTACATATATATATACACATACATAAAGGTGCAAATATTACTGCAGACGCAGACTGCAACCACGAAATCAGGAGACGCTTTCTTCTTGGGAGGAGAGCAACGACCAATCTTGATAAAATAGTGAAGAATAGAGACATCACACTGGCAATGAAGATCCGCATAGTTAAAGCAATGGCATTCCCTGTAGCAACCTATAGATGTGAGAGCTGGACCTTAGGGAAGGCTGAGCGAAGGAAGATAGACGCTTTTGAACTGTGATGCTGGAGGAAAATTCTGAGAGTGCCTTGGACCGCAAGAAGATCCAACTAGTCCATACTTCAGGAAATAAAGCCTGACTGCTCATTGGAGGGAACGATAGTAGACTCCAGGATGAAGTACTTTGGCCACATCATGAGAAGGAAGGAAAGTTTAGAGAAGACAATTATGCTGGGGAAAATGGAAGGAAAAAGGAAGAGGGGCCAACCAAGGGCAAGATGGATGGATGGTATCCTTGAAGTGACTGGATTGACCTTGAAGGAGCTGGGGGTGGTGACGACCGACAGGGAGCTCTGGCGTGGGCTGGTACATGAAGTCACCAAGAGTTGGAAGCTACTGAACGAATGAACAACAACACATACATAGGCTGAGCGAAGGAAGATAGATGCTTTTGAACTGTGGTGCTGGAGGAAAGTTCTGAGAGTGCTTTGGACGGCCAGAAGACCCATACTTCAGGAAATAAAGCCTGACTGCTCATTGGAGGGAAGGATAGTAGAGGCAAAGATGAAGTATTTTGGGCACATCATGAGAAGAAAGGAAAGCTTAGAGAAGACAATGATGCTGGGGAAAATGGAAGGAACAAGGAAGAGGGGCCGACCAAGGGCAAGAGGGATGGATGGGATCCTTGAAGTGACTGGCCTGACTCTGAAGGAGTTGGGGAAAAAATAAATTGTAAAAATACAAATTAAATATTTTATTTGCTTTTACAAGTCAGGGAGTCCTGTCGTGGGTTGGTCCATGAGGTCAAAAAGAGTCGGAAGCAACCGAACGAAAAAACAACAACATATTTGTGTCTGTACACACACACAGAGAGAGAGAGAGAGAGAGATACACCCACACATAAAGTGGGAAAGCTGTCTTTTCTCCCGAGAGAGGAGGTCCCATTCACATGTGGGATGAATCCAGCTGGACGCCACTGCAGCTGCCTCTTTAACTGCCAGGACTGTGATGCGGTCCTGGGAGCTGTAGTTCGGTGAAGCGCCGGCCAACTCTTGGGCCGAGAAGGCGACGGGCCTCGTCCAACGACGACGCCAACGAGCCGGTAGTGGCGGTTGGGAAGTGCCGTCGAATCGCAGCCCATTCCACAGAGTGGAGCCGAAGTGCGCGCCCTTGAAGCCGCTGGGGATCGGGCCAAACCCAAAGTCCGGCCTCGGGAGCGTGTGGACGCGCCCGCCTCCTTGCTGGTGTGTTTCCCCCCGCGTGGCCCTTGGGTCCCAGTCGGGAGCGGGGCCCTTCCTTTGGGAGGAGCCCTTCCCCTTCTGGCGCGGCGCCTTGGCAGGCAAGGGAGGCGGCGCAGCTGCGTTTCCTGAGGACAGTCGCTTTGTTTCGGCGTGGAAGCCCCGCGTGGGCCGGAGGCAGGGAGGGAAGGAGAGAAGGAAGGGAGAGAGGGAGGGAGGCAAGAGAAAGGGAAGGAAGGAGGGAGGGAGGGAAAGGAGGCAGGAAGGCAAGAGAAAGGGAGAGAAGGAAGGAAGGCAAAAGAGAGGGGAGGAAAGAAAGGAAGGGAGGATAGGGAAAGGGAAGGAATGAAGGAAGGAGTGAGGGAAAGAAGGTAGGAAGGCAAAGGAGAGGAAAGGAAAGAAGGAACGAGGGCTAGAGAAAGGAAGGGAAGGTAAATGCGAGGACAGGGAAGGAAGGCTAGAGAAAGGGAAGGAAAGAAGGAAGGAGAGAGGGAAAGAAGGTAGGAAGGCAAAGAGAGGAAAGAGGGCTAAAGAAAGGAAAGGAAGGAAGGAGGTAAAGAAAGAAAAGGAAGGAGAGGGAAAGAAGGTAGGAAGGCAAAAGAGAGGAAAGGAAGGAGGGAAGAAAGGAAAAAGAAAGGGAAGGAAAGTAGGCTGGAAGGAAGGCAAAAGAGAGGGAAGGAAAGAGGGCTAAAGAAAGGAAAGGAAGGAAGGAGGTAAAGAAGGAAGGAAGGCAAAAGAGAGGAAAGGAAGGAGGGAAGAAGGAAAAGAAGGGAAGGCTGGAAGGAAGGCAAAAGAGAGGGAAGAAAAAGGAAGGAAGAAAGGAAGAAAGAAGGAAAGGAGGCAAGAAGGAAGGAGAGAGAGAAAGAAGGTAGGAAGGCAAAAGAGCAGAGGAAAGAGGGCTAGAGAAAGGAAAGGAAGGAAGGACAGAAAGGAAGGGCAGGCAAAAGAGAGGAAAGAAAAGAGGGAAGGAGGGCTAGAGAAAGGAAAGAAGGAGGTGAAGAAGGAAGGGCGGCAAGAGAAAAGGAAGGGGAGAGGGAAAGAAGGTAGGAAGGCAAAAGAGAGGAAAGGAAGGAGGGAAGGAAGGCAAGAGAAGGGGCAGGAAAGAAGGAGAGAAAGAATAAAGGCAAAAGAGAGGGAAGGAAAGAAGGAGGGAAGGAAGGAAGGCCCGTCCCTTGTCCCCTTCTCTCTCTCTCTCTCTCTCCTCTCCTTCTCCTCCTCCCCCTTCCTCCCTCCTTCCCTCCCTCCTTCCCTCCTCCCACCCGCGGCGTACTTTGCTGCTGCTCCTCCTCTCAAGGAAGTTTCCTCCCCTTCTCCTTTCCCACCGCCGCCTCACTTCCCCATATTCCGCGAGCCGGGGCAGAGACACAGAGAAGGAAGGCAGGCAGGCAGGAAGGGGGACAGAAGGGAGGCCGAGCGGATGCCGGTGGCGGCGGCCAACTCGCAGCCCCGCGCGGCGCAGCCCCAGCCGCAGCCCCCCTTGGCTTCCTCCTCCGCCTCCCCCTCCTCCGCCTCCTCCTCCTCCACCCGCCGCCGGGTCCTTCTTCTCCCCTCCGAGGAGCGCCCCACGGATCCCTTGGGCCGGCCCCGAGGCGGCGGGGAGGCGCCTCTTTCCGGGGCACCCCCGCCCGCCGAGCCCCCCCGCACCCGATCCCGCTCTCGCTCCGGCTTCTTCAGCCTCCTCGCCATGAGCGGAGCCGGGGGAGGAGGAGGAGGAGGAGGCGCCTCGGCTGCCCCCGCCGCCCATTTCCAGCCTCCGCCGCCACCGCCGCTTCATGGGCCGCCGAGCCTGGCCAGCCAAGGCGCCGGGTACGCCGGGCAGCAGCTCCTCCGCGGAGCCCGGAGTCATCATCATCATCACCACCACCATCATCACAACAACCCCCCGCCGCCACCGCCAGGTAATCTAGGGCCCGAGAGGGAAGGGGGGGAGCCTTGTGGGGAGACTGAGAGGAAACCGGGGCGTCATCGGAGGGGAAAGCAGCCCCCTTTCAGCCCCCAAGGCGGGCCAGAAATAGGGGAAAGGGTTAAGGACCTCTCTCTCTCTCTCTCTCTCTCTCTCTCTCCCCCTTGTTTCTTCGAGTTCAGTGGGACGCAACTTCCTCAGAGAGAGAGTGTGGAGGGAGAGTTCCCAAGTCATTTGATAAGAGGGGTGTTGTTGGATGGTGCCACCACCCCCCTCCCAAGGTTTTGGACTGGCCCTTGCCCTTTGTTTCCTCCTTCGGGTGCCTTCAGGTTAATGATCCCACCGGGGGAGGCTTTTTTTTCCAACTCAAAGGGGATACAAAGCGACAAAAAGTATCTTATGCAGGATCGAGCTCTCTCTGTCAGTGTGCGCACCTTGGAGTTGTTTCGCTTGGCTCTTCTGCCCCACTTCCCAAACGGGTTCCTTGTGTTGTTGTGGAGGAGGTGTTCCACATCTCACTCTCTGGGCTCTTCCAAACAGGCCCAGGATCTGATCCCAGGTTTTCTGCATTAAATTGGATTATATAATAATAATAATAATAATAATAATAAATATGAATAATAATATGAATAATAATATGAATAATAATATATAATAATAATAATAATAATAATAATAATAATAATAATAATAATAATAATAATAATAATGGCACAAGCCAGTCAAGGTGGTCCCAGTGGTGATCAGCACACTGGGTGCAGTGCCTAAAGACCTTGGCCTGCACTTAAACACAATTGGCGCTGACAAGATTACCATCTGCCAGCTGCAGAAGGCCACCTTACTGGGATCTGCATGCATTATTCACCAATACATCATACAGTCCTAGACACCAATACAGTAGCCCAGCAGAGTGTCTTGATGTGTTTCTAATAATAATAATAATAATAATAATAATAATAATAATAATAATTGAAAATACATTACACAGTCCTAGGCACTTGGGATGTGTCCGACATGTGATCCAGTACAACACCCAGCAGAGCGTCTGCTGTGGACTCATCTTGATGTGTTTCTAATAATAATAATAATAATAATCAAAAATGCATCACACAGTCCTAGGCACTTGGGAAGTGTCCGACGTGTGATCCAATACAACAGCCAGCAGAGTGTCTGCTGTGGACTCATCTTTTTGATAATAATAATAATAATAATAATAATAATAATAATAATCGAAAATGCATCACACAGTCCTAGGCACTTGGGAAGTGTCTGACGTGTGATCCAATACAACAGCCAGCAGAGTGTCTGCTGTGGACTCATCTTTTTGTGTTTCAAATAATATTAATAATAACAATAATAATTACTTTATTCTTATATCCCACTTCCATCTCCCCAAAGAGACTCGGAGTGGCTTACATGGGGACCCCGATATAAACAAAATTTACAAGTAACACAATTAAAAACATATAGAATGTATTAAAGCAGTAAAACCAATAAGATAAAATGTAAGACATCATAAAACATAAACAACCAGTAGCTGGGAAAAGTGGACATGTGCAGATTTGAGACAAACAGGGCAGTGCCTAAAGACCTTGGCATGCACTTAAACACAATTGGCGCTGACAAGATTACCATTTGCCAGCTGCAGAAGGCCACCTTACTGGGATCTGCACGCATTATTCGCCGATACATCACACTGTCCTAAGCACTTGGGAAATGTCCGACTTGTGATCCAATACAACAGCCAACAGGGTGTCTGCTGTGGATTCATCTTGTTGTGTTTCAAATAACAACAACAACAACAATAATAACTTCATTCTTATATCCCACTTCCATCTCCCCAAAGAGACTCGGAGTGGCTTACATGGGGACCCCGATATAAACAAAATTTATAAGTAACACAATTAAAAACATATAGCTTCAGAATGTGTTAAAGCAGTAAAACCAATAAAATAAAATGTAAGACATCATAAAACATAAACAAACAACCAGTAGCTGAGAAAAGTGGACATGTGTAGATTTGAGACTAACAGGGCAGTGCCTAAAGACCTTGGCATGCACTTAAACACAATCAGCACTGACAAGATTACCATCTGCCAGCTGCAGAAGGCCACCCAATACATCACACAGTCCTAGACACTTGGGAAGTGTCTGACATGTGATCCAATACAACAATATGTCTAATAATAATAATAATAATAATAATAATAATAATAATAATAATATGCTCTTATGGTTTTAAATTGTATACTGTTGACTGTTGTATTTTGTTGTAAACCGCGTTGAGTCGCCGGCTAGGCTGAGAAACAGCGGTATACAAGTATAGCAAATAAATAAATAAATAAATAAATAAATAAATAAAATATATGGAAGAGATGGAAAAGATCGACTTGTGATTTTGTGATATGAAATTCAGCATAAAGATCTCGTTTGTTGTGACATACTGTGCTTTTGTGTCAGTAAAATAATAATAATAATAATCTTTATTTATACCCCGCCACCATCTCCCCAATGGGGACTCGGGGTGGCTAGCATGAGGCCTAGCCCAAAAAATACAGTGCAACACAAAAATACAGAAAAAAAAAAAAAAAAGTACATCAGAAAATTATTACAGTAGCAAAACAAAACAATAAAGCAAATTAACACAATATAAAACCAAACAGAAAGGGAAGGCCAAATGGATGAGATAAACAGATAAAACCCTGGGTAATGTAGGAATAGAAAATGTGTAAGTGAGGGGAGCCCAAGAAGGATTTAAAAAAAGTGGGGTAAGGCTTTCAGTTTAGGGCAGAGGAAAGTACATCATAGGGGCAACACTATAGATGGGGGCAAACAGAAGTGGAATAAATGGTCACTCTCCAGAAAAGCCAGGTTTTCAAGTTTTTCTTGAAGTCTGCTAAGGAGGGGGCTTTCCTAATCTCTCCAGGTAGTGAGTTCCAAAGACAGGGAGCCACAGCAGAGAAGCCTTTCTCCTGCATTCCCATAAGTCTTGCCTGTGATAAAGGAAGAGGCGAAAGGAATCCCCACTGCCAGATAATCTGGAATAAACAGAAAACCTGGGATCAGATCCCGGGATATAGGGTCTGTCTGGAAGCACCCTTTCTCTCTAGGCCCTTCCTCACAACCCTATAATCCAGAATATCAAGGCAGACAATCCACAAGATCTGCTTTGAACTAAGTGCCCTTCTCACAGCCCTATATCCCAGAATATCAGAAGTAGAATAAACTGGACTGTATGGCAGTGTGGACTCAACCCAGTTCAAAGTGGATATTGTGAGTGGTCTGACTTGATATACTGGGTTATATGGCTGCGTGGAAGGGCCCTACATATATATTTTATGTTTGGTGAGAGCCCTTCCACACAGCCATATAAAATCCCACATTGTCTGCTTTGAACTGGACTATATGGCAGTGTGGAATCAGATAACCCAGTTCAAAGCAGATACTGTGGAATTTTCTGCCCTGATATTCTGGTTTATAAGGCTGTGTGGAAGGGCAGAGGGTTATCTGAGTCCACACTGCCATATAATCAAGCTCTACGTGAATTTTGTACCGCTGTGTGGAAAGGGCCTAAGACTGTGTTGTCAAAGGTTTTCATGGCTGGAATGACTGGGTTGCTGTGAGTTTTCTGGGCTGTATGGTCATGTTTCAGAAGCATTCCCTCCTGAGGTTTCTCCCACATCTATGGCAGGCATTCTCAGAGGTTGTGAAGTCTGTTGGAAACTAGGCAAATGGGGTTCATATATCTGTGGAATGTCCATGGAAGGAGAAAGAACTGTTGTCTGCTTGAGGCAAGTGTAAATGTTGCAATAGGCCACCTTGATTAGCACTGAATAGCCTTGCAGCTTCAAAGCCTAGCTGCTTCCTAGGCCGTTCAATGCTAATCAAGGCGGCCAATTGCAGTATTGACACTTGCCTCAAGCAAACAAGAGTTCTTTCTCCCACCCTGGACATTCCACAGATATATGAACCCCAATTGCCTAGTTTCCAACAGACCTTACAACCTCTGAGGTCTTTTGGGTGATTGAGGAAGGCCATGTGAATTGTATGTGTGTGCTCTCTCTTCCCCCCCCCCCCCCCTTCTTTTCATTTTGCCTTCCTGTCACATCTTGGTGAGTGGGGAAATTGCCCCATTCTCCTGTCACATTTCTGCTTTTAGGTTTTGGAGTTGTTGTTTTGTTGTTACCAAACTTGCAAGTCTTGTGTGTCTATGAACAGTTTAGTTCATACACTATTGTCACCCTGGACCGAACATGTGGGATGACGCTCCTGAGTGAAGCTCCAGCGCTGTGCACATGGCTTTCAGGTGGAATGAGAAAAGGCGCCACGATAATGGGCTCGAAAGGAGACAGTCAGGAGAGGAAAGCTACATTTCCCTGATTATTTTGAGGCAGACATAGAGGTGGGAATTAGTTGTCTTCAGAACAGTGAAAACTTTTCAAATTGCAGTGGAGCAGAAAATAGTATGGCCAAGGCATTGAACCTAACAGGATAATACAAGATTTGTTTGTATGTCAAAATCCATTATGCTGGAATAAAAAAAATCCTAGCTCAAGAAAAATCTGAAGCTTGTTGTGTACGTGTTTAGTCCAGCAGGGAAAAAAATATGTACAGGCAGTCTCCAAGTTATGAACAAGATAGGTTCAGTAGGTTTGTTCGTAAGCTGAATTTGTGTGTAAGTCGGAACAGGTACATATTTAAGTAACTCCAGCCGTGTGTATGTGTGTGTGTGTGTATATATACTGGACATTCCCTGCCACGCGTTGCTGTGGCCAAGTCTGTGTATATGTGTATACACACGTTGGGTTGCTCTTTACTTTTGATTTAAAACCTTCCTAATAGATACATCCTCTGTTCGTGTCCAGCATTTATTTTTAAAGTTTTAACTATTACATCTGGCCCAGCCATAGGTTTTTAAATTCTTGTGTGTTATTGTCTACTTGTGAGTTATATTAATTGTATTGTTTATTTTGTTTATTGCTTGTTGTTTGATTA